CTATATATATATATAATAGTACTGTCTTCTATATATATGGTGTGGATGGATCTTCACAAAAATTGGTATGGAGGTTTATCAGGTCCATCCGAGGGGGGGGGGGGGTACATTCAAAATCCCAATTTTGCGTTTTTCATTTTTTTATGGACGTTTTTCATCACTACTTCGTTCCCTGTTGATGGATCTTCACCAAATTTGGCATGAAGGTTTGTTGGATCCACGTGGAGATGCATGCAAATATTCGGTTTCACATTTTGTGTTATGGGCGTTTTTTCACAATTACATATAAGAGAAACAACTTTTCACGTCCTAAGATAACCTTTCATTAATCATGAATTTACATAACTTCCCTCCAGGGGACGAGTGCTCAAGCTAGTCTTTATAATATGTATTAGCGTTGTTAATTTAAACAAGATATTTGCCGGTTAATTTTTAACTACCATAACAAGGCTTACTTTTCCCATGTAAGTTATATATTGATTTCATATACTCAATAACGCACAACATATTTGATATATGCTACACAAAATACACGTTCTAATATATATATATGGGTTTCTTTTCATCAGGACGTTTATATTTAAAACTTTCTTTAGGTAAAGAATAGGCGGATTGTCAGTCAAGGATGTTCTTGATGTGATATTATTCACGCTTACATCAACGAGTCTGTATAGGATTACACTAGGTTCTCGTCGCTTTACGTCTTTTGTAATTCTATATATGCGCGTAAAAACTGTGTGAATTTTTAACAAGATTAGAATTTTAAGTATACGAACATCTGTACAATAGTTACAGAGCTGAAACTTCTAATATTATGTTTTAAAGATCAGTAACCTTCATAGACCACAATAATACTTGATTACACCTACATTACTTTAGGTTGTTCGATTTTAATCTCTTGTAACAGAAGTGTACTCAAATACTCACATAATAATTATTATTTCAATTTTTCTGATAAGAAAATCTGTCGTATCACGTCTACGTCTAAGTTATATTAATTGTCGCTATAAAGAAATACTGTTTACTTTTCAATCACCCTCTAGTGGCTAAGCGGTAAGCTTTAATAACTTATAACGCTAATTTTTAGGGCTAAAGTTCCTGCGTTGTGCACAACGCAGCTAGCCCAGATTTTTGTAATTCGCTTATCAATTTATAGGATCAATAAAACTTTTCTTACTGGTCTTAATTAATTTAGTTTATAAACAAACGTCGAGAACATCTTCCTAAATATATTGAACAAAAATAACTTATTAACCTAAATGTTACATCCGTTCACACACTCATCCTCTGTTCTATACTTGCTATTATATCCGATATTATCCCGTTTGAAAGTTGTATTTTGTAAAAAGGAGTTGTTGATATAGTTAACCTACCTAATGAACCTGTTCGTAGACTACTTCTTGATGTACCTGCGTGTATCCTCATTACATGTATCTTCTTCAGTAGTTTAAGAACAAGCTCACTAAGAGGACTGTCTTATTAATACTGTGTAACTGATGCTTACAGTTTTTAAGTGAACTATTTCAGTGATGTTGATAAGAATTATAGTACAAGTGCTATTGTTTCTGGTTCCACTTCTCAATGTTATACATTTGTAGTTCCCCAATGCAATCCCACATGATTGCGCCATCTAGTGAGAGTTATCGATATTGAAAATCACCGAACGACGAAATTTAAAATAAAAGCATAATTAGGCGATTAATTTGTTGTATATATAATAAATAATAATAGTAGAAGTGTTTATGAAATTAATGAGGTACAATATTTATTAATATTTATATGTGTTTAATTTTTAAATTATCATTATATAAATAAATAAAAATGAAACTGACATTTTGATGTAAAATAAACTGAGATTGTATTTTTATTTTACTTTAACACCAAAATGTTTCTTTAATTTTTACAATGTTAGTTTAAAATGTTGCAAAGATTAATTTATATAGAATAGCTTTTCTAAAACAACGAATAATTACTTTGGGGAATAACATTAACCATAATATCAACAAAAGTAAATTTTTAATGTTTCGTCATGCCCCCCGTGGCTTAGCGACACTTACTCAGGCTTACGACGTTAAAATTCGGGTTCTGATACCCGTGGTGGACAGAGCACAGATAGCCCATTGTGTAACTATGTTCTTAAATTTAACGAATAATATTTCCCCACGTAACGAGTATAATAACTTTATCAGTTGAGAAAAACTAATATAATGCGTGTTATAGAAAGGTAAGCATAGATGGCAGCACATACGTAGCCACTTTAGGTAAGTGATTGTGTTTCTATTTTTTATTGTGGACAGCCAAATGCTTTTATTTGTAAATATCTTTATCAGACTGCGTAGGCATTTTGAATATTTAAATTTTGTAATACTTAGACAATTTTTTTTATAAAACGCAAAATAATCACAATTTCTTTTTTTAGACAGAGAATATTAAAAAGTAATTAATAAACTCAAAATAAGACCCACAACCCCTAGCGCTTTCGAAGAATTGACTATTCTTCTTCAGGAGAACTATTCGAAAGCGCTCGAGTTTTGGGTCTTATTTTAACTTTATTACACTTTATATGTGATCCTCTTTTATAAAGAAAGTAATACTGTAAACGAGATTCATGAGATGGCAAAAAAGAGGCGAAAGCGAAACGTTTCCACTGTTAAAAGAAACTCGTAGTTGCATCATTTCTTAATCGTGCTTAGATTGCCTGACCGCAACAACGCAATGCAGTATGAAGTTCATACTCGTACGATTTCAATTTCGCGCAAAGCTACACGAGGGCTATCTGCGCTAGTCGTCCCTAATTTAGTAGATAAAGACTAGACGGAATGCAGCTAGTTAGCACCACCCACTGACAACTCTTGAGCTACTCTTTTACCAACGCATAGAGTGATTGAGCGTCACCTTATAACGCCCTTACTGCTGAAAAGGCGACCATGTTTGGTGACAGGATTCGAACCCGCGATCCGCAGTTTGCGAGTCAAGCGCCATAACGACCTGGCCAGATTAGATGAAGTCCATAGTTGTATTTGGTTTTTATGACAAAATTACTAATACTATTTGCTGCCGTACCTAATACTGAAGAAAGGCAACAGTCAACTAGTCAACAGTATTCTACTACTAGCCATCCACACTAAGGGATTGACTGTCAGTCTTATAACGGTAACATAATAATTATAAGGTGTTCATGATAATCAACATTGTTAACTGTACATAAAAAGCTATATTGGAGTATTAAAATTTGTTGTTTGTTTTTAACACAGAGTCAATAATGAGCTATCTGCGACTTGTCTATACAGATTTTAGGACTGTAATTCTCTGAAATATGTGCTTAAGCTTGATTTTTGTTCGGTCAAAGGTAAAAAAGTAATAATTTTGATTTTGTGTTTATTTAAAAAAAAACTATTAAAATAAGCAAAATAAACTTGTAGTTAATGTTTGTTTTCCTGAAAACGTGTTAAATTTCCATCATAAGAATATTACATATCTCGATATATGATTCTAAAATATTAACTGCTTCTCCTCGACAAAAGTTATATACTGTTTGTTTCTACAGCTATTATAATAAGAAATTAAATTTGTTTTATGAACGTTGATAGCACAAAAAACCACATACACGTGTACTTAATATAACTTTCAGGTATCCACTCTACTGATAGTGCTTTTAAGATAATTTTTATCTACCGTCAACATCGTCAGGTCATGTTCTTTATATACTCTTTTTATGTATCTATATATATATGTATATATCTGTTCTTAATATACTAGCGCCCTTTGTGGCACAGCAGTATGTCTGCGAACTTACAAGGCTAGAAACCGGATTTCGATACCCGTGGTGGGCAGAGCACAGATAGCCCTCTGTGCTTAACTACAAACAAACAAACATATTAATATAATAGTAGGTCTGGCATGGCCTGGTGGTTAGAGCACTCGACTCGCAAACTGCGGATCGCGGGTTCGAATCCTGTCACCAAAAATGCTCATCCTTTCAGCCGTGGGGACGTTATAATATGACGGTCAATCTCCACTATTCTTTGGTAAAAAGTAACCCAAGAGTTGGCGGTGGGTGGCTGCCTTCCATCTAGACTATCACAAAATTATGGATTGTTAATGAAGGTAGCCCTCGACTAGCTTTGCGCGAAATTGAAGACAAACAAACAAACAAAATCAGTAGAATAGCATCTGAGTATTGTTCTTAATTTAACTATATGTACCATTCACATATAAGTGTAACGACGTGAATGTGGTCGTATTGCTGTTATTACAACTTTTTATACTACAATGTCAACATAGCAATCTCACCAATCCACGTCTTGAATATTGATTCTCCATGCAAATCATTAATATTGATCCTTCATGCATATCATTAATATTGATTCTCCATGCATATAATTAATATTGATCCTCCATACATATCATTAATATTGATCCTTCATGCATATCATTAATATTGATCCTTCATGCATATCATTAATATTGATCTTCCATGGATATCATTAATATTGATCCCCATGTATAGCATTAATATTGATCCTCCATGCATATCATTAATATTGATCCCCATGTATATCATTAATATTGATCCTCCATACATATCATTAATATTGATGCTTCATGCATATCATTAATATTGATCTTCCATGCATATCATTAATATTGATCCTCCATGGATATCATTAATATTGATCCCCATGTATAGCATTAATATTGATCCTCCATGCATATCATTAATATTGATCCCCATGTATATCATTAATATTGATCCTCCATACATATCATTGATATTGATCCTCCATGCATATCATTGATATTGATCCTCCATGCATATCATTAGTATTGATCTTCCATGCATATCATTAATATTGATCCTCCATACATATCATTGATATTGATCCTTCATGCATATCATTAATATTGGTCCTCCATTCATATGATTAATATTGATCCTTCATGCATATCATTAATATTGATCCTCCATGCATATCATTAATATTGATCCTCCATGGATAGCATTAGTATTGATCCTCCATGCATATCATTAATATTGATCCTCCATGCATATCATTCATATTGATCCTCCATACATATCATTAAAATTGATCCTTCATGCATATCATTAATATTGATCCTCCATGCATATCATTAATATTGATCCTCCATGTATATCATTCTTAGTAAGCTATATATATCGTCCATACATTAATTAATAAATGAAAATGGATGTTAAGTCTGAAAGGTTAGGTTTTATGAATTTCAACGTCTATATACCTGACTATCAACACATCCAGTTATTACTATTGTCCGCACGCTTTATCCGTGCTTAAAGGCTACACTCCCAGAAACCTAGCTCAACGGAATATACAAAAGTTAGTTTTAGCACGTTCTTCTAATTCATGATAACAAATGCTAAAGAAAATTTATTTTTTAATTAATATATAGTACATAGATCATTAACTTATGTGCCAGTGTTAAAAAAAATTGGAATATTTTACAACAGCTTTTCCTGCTCTGGCGGCATTAATACCTTTTCAAGTGGAAGACCTGAAACCAGCAGGTAAAAAAAGAAGAAAAAGAGTACGGGTCTCGGCGGGGGATGGGAACAGGAAAACAACCTTACTCACGTGAGTACGTTCGCAAAGTTCTTACTCAATATGCTTGATCGGGGAGAAGATCAGAGCGCAAATTTCCCACAATTCACGCTGTTTATGATTACGTGTATATAACTAACAATAATATATAAGTATGATTTTGTGACACAAACAAAAGACAAGGAAGTTGTCTTTCTATTATTTGTTTTAAAGCTTCAAAAATAAAGCCTACTATAACAAAACCGAATAAGATTATACATAAACGATTAAAATATGTATACATAGATATATACATATATTTACTTTAATTTTTTAATATTACTTTAATATTAATATTAATTTTTATCGATATTTTAATATTAATTAGTAGTGATTCTGCCTTGCATGACAATCGTAGAAGCCCCCCAGTGGCACAGCGGTATGTCTGCGGACTTACAACGCTAGAAACCGGGTTTCGATACCCGTGGTGGGCAGAGCACAGATAGCCCTTGTGTAGCTTTGTGCATAATTAAAAACAAAAAAAACAAATAAAAGACAATCGTAGATACTATTTTAGGGCTGACATTGCTTGGTAGCTAGAGTGCTCGACTCGTTATCTACGGGTTGCGGGTTCGAATCTCGTCAACAAATTTAGGTCTTTTTATATGTGGGCGAGTTTTAATGTGACGGTAATTCCCACTTTTTGTTGGTGAAAGAGTAGCCCAAACGTTGGCGGTGGGTGTTGTTTATTAGATACTTTCCCCTCTAGTCTATCACATCTAAATTAGTGACGGTTAACATTAGTGACGGTTAACACAGATAGTCCTCAATTAGCTTTGCGCAAAATTAAACAAACAAACAAAGTATTTTGAATGTTTGAACCTAACTATGAGTATAAATTAGTGTGTTAAAACCCAACATTTAAAGATTTTTGGTGTTGAAATCTTGGTGTGGTTTGTATTTCGCGTAAAGCTACACGAGGGCTATCTGCGCCAGCCGCCCCTAATTTAGCAGTAGAAGACTAGAGAGAAGGCAGCTAGTCATCATCACCCACCGCTAACTCTGAAAGAGCGAGCATGCTTCGGGGGACGGGGATTCGAGCCCGCGACCCTCAGATTGGGAGTTAAGCTCCCTAACCACCTGGCCATGCCGAGCCGTGTGTGTAAATCTAATTAGAAATAAAATTTTCTATATTAAGGCGAACTATGAGCACACAATTCTGCTATTGAACCTAAACATGAGCAAAAATGTATGTTATTAAACTTAACTATTAATATAGGTTTATGTGTATAAGCCTTCGTAACAGTACACGTTTCTGTGATTAAGCTTTACTACTAGTACAAGTTTTTGTGATTAAGTTTAACTACGAATACAGGGCTCTGTGATTAAGCCTAACTACGAGTGCAAATTATTGTGATTAAATCTAACTATGAATGCAAGGCTCTGTGATTAAGCCTAAATGCAAGTATAAGTTTCTGTGATTAAACCTAATTATGAATTTAAGGTTCTCTGATTAAGCCTAATTATATGTGATTACAAGTTTATGTGTCAACCTAAATCAACCAGTTCCTGAGTATGTTCAGAGATGTGAGTACTAGGTGTTGTTCTCGTCATAACCGTGTGTATGTTTTCAGTGTCTGATCATAGTTATTTGCATTATTTTCTGTGTCTGATCATAGTTATGAATAATAAATCTCATGTGCAGTTTTATTCAAATTACGCTGTTCTAAAATTATTTTAAAATATTATAGTGTCTTTTTGACATAATAAAAGTTATTTTTCTGAAAGTTTGTTTGTTTGTTTTTGAATTT